AATGGCCGATTGTGCTCCAGCTTCCTCTGTACCTCTTCGTAAGACCAGATTCCCAGTAGGTAGCTGGTCTCTTCAGTGGACCACTGCTGCTTGTTAAGTTTCTCCATCGTTGTGTACAAACTGGATAAAACGCAGGCAGGCAGACCATTTTTTGGTGCTTGAAACGAACCGGATTCCGAAGCTAAGAGGCTGCTCCGCTGCGGTGTGAACAGGAAAACCCGGTGCTTTTCAAGCTCCAGCTCCGAACCGGCCCTGAAACACCGTTGGTGTGAATGAGGTATCAATGACTGTGAAGCAGGCCGCTGGGTCTGTGAATGCTTTGGCTGATCTTGTTCTATGATTGTGTTGTGATTGTGAGTTTTAAAATTGTCAGTGACTTTGCTGCTACCTATCTTGGGCCAGGACTCTCTTAAAGAAGAGATTTGTAATCTCAATGAGAACCTATCCTGGTAAAATAAAATAAAAAAAAGTGCTCTGCGCAACTTTAATTAAAGTGGACCTATCATGCTATATTTAAATGATATATTGTAGGGCCATACATATATAAGGTATATTTATACGTTTCTGTTTTCAAAATACCAAACAGATCATGCATTTTAGCCATGCCTCATTTCGCTCTATTTGCTGTTCTCCAGCCCTGTTTTTGCACGGGGCTGATTCTGTGAGCTGCAGCTGACCACGCCCCCCTGCAGGAGAGGGGAGCCGCTCTGATCAAGTCAGAAGAGGGGGAGAAAAATAGATCTCCGTCCTCCGTGTTTTATTATAGCCTATTATTATTATATAGAGTCGTTATTCATTTGTTTTAACCTGTTACGCACCGCCCCCCCCGGTGCCGGGCGGGTAAACGCGTTATTTGCAGGAAACAACGTCTAAGGAATCTTAATATTTAATAAACTATGAATGTTTTATATCCATGTAACGGGAAGAAACTCAGCTAACTGATCTTTTTAATTTATTTTTCCAAAAAAAAAACACAATGCTAACACTCAGCCTCTGAATTATCCACGAGCGAATAAATGTAACCTATCTGCACCTAAACTCACTCCTAACTCCCTTATTACTTATCCTAGATGCACAGCCAACGCATCGATTAGCATCACCTGGAGACACAGAATCTGGGGGTGCCCACCTCAACACTCAGTGATAAACATTTGCGACGCTATAAACGAAAGCGTACATCATAACATGTGGAGCTAGGTAGCTAGAAACGCTAACATGGCTTACCTTGGTCAAAACTGGTCTTCAATGGCATTAAAACGATAAAAAAACGATGCTGCAGTTAATCCATAGGTTAATCCAATGTGTCTGTGTCCTCTTTGAAATGATTTTTGATAATCCATAAGCAATAAAACTGCTTTTTCGTTTCCAAATGTCAGAGCGAGAGATTGGTCCACTCTGCTGCAAAATTACATGCGCGAAGCCTCCACCTCTTCTCTTCACAACGCGTGTGTGTGGGGGCCTCCCCCTTCGATTCTATTGGCTCTAACGGTCAGAAAGAGGTGTCAAACATCAAAATTGACCAAGGGGGGCCAGAGATATGGAAAAAAAAAACATTTTCACCCAAATCACCTCAGAGGTGGGGTGGTTTTGGCTAAACCTCTCTAAAAAGGTCAAATGTCACTTGTTTTGCATCAATCTTGATACAGGGTACTTATATGTTGTACTTTGGATTCCTAAAGCTTTTAGTCTACTAACCCATCATCCAAGGGTAGTTTTCACTATCTGTAAAAAAAGAATTTTTGGACGGACACTATAATTTACAGTTTTTTACGATGTAAAATCTGAATTTTCTTTAAAATAAAAACATCTATATTGATTCTGACACTTCTACATCCAACTCACAGATGTAACCTTGCTTTGATAAAAGAAATTATTCATATAACCCTTTTAGAAGTTAAGTTGTAGTCATTTGTTTTGGGCATGTCATTTTCGAGCCTGAAACATGAAAAACAGGCTTGGTGCTTAAAGGCCCTGACACACCAGGCAGTCACCAGAGAACTCGCCGACACCCGACACCGACAGTTCCATCGACGAGTTCTCCTGCGTATTGGCCGTGTGTCGCACTGGAAATCACCGCAAAGACTTCAGCCGAGCACGTACGAACTGCGCATGCGTGAGTGGCAATAACTCTCCTTACCAGCAGGCGGCGGTAGTGTGTATTCGTCATTCAAAATAGGCAACAACCGGAAAACAGAGAAGAAGAACAGACTGATATAAACAAACAAATAGCATGTGCGTTCCATTTTCACTCTCGTCCATCGAAAACATGTTTTAGAATATAAAAATACATGAATGATGAAATGAGCACATAAAGTGCAGACATACTATAAAATCACAGTTAATAGACCTGCATCTGATGATCGCAGTGTTCTGGCGGGTGTGTAGTTTATTGAGTCAGCAATGTAATAATGGCCACTTCTTGCTAAATTTACGATGAGATGAAAAACCGGACTTGACCAAACAAATCACGGAGCTCTCAGCAGAGGACAGCCGGGGACGCTCCCGCCGATATCAGAGATGTCCCTGCTATGTGTGGGAGGTAAGAGAGGACATTTAAGGGCTATGTTTGATGTCTTTTAAGTATCACCTGCTGGGGTTTAGCTGCTGTCCTGTGCCTTCTTAAATCGTTTGTTTACGTCCCTCACTTCCGTTTCGCTTCTCATTTGCTAGCTGAACAGCTGATCAGAGTGGTTTCTTGGCCCGATAGCTTGTGTCCGACACCCGGCCGATTCAACATGTTGAATCGGCCGGGTGTCGACCGTGAAAGGCCAAATAAGGCGTGTCACGGCCGAGGGTTCGGGACACACCAAATTGACTTTGGGCGACAAGGAACCCGTTTTCGCCCAACAACGCAAGACGGCCGATATCGGCCTGGTGTGTAGGGGCCTTTACAGGTTAAAGCTCAATAAATAACAAAGAAGACCTTTGACCGGCACTTTTCTAATTTTGTCCGGAAGATTTAAACTTTAACGGACATCTTGACCGGCAAAAGAAACTGAAACTGAAACTCTGCCGCACGGTCCCTTCGTTCCTTGGAAGAGGCGGAGAGGTGGGTGTTTGTCATCTGCTGGTGGACTAACCGGAGAGAATTACAGTGCTTGCCTCGACGGGGAGGGATTGCATTGAATTAAAGCAGCGGGAGCAAACGCTTGCCTCGGGGAGGGAGAAAAAAAGCCACAGCGAAGAATAAACAGAAGGGTAACCATGGTAACCATGCGCGGGAAGTCTTCTTCGCTGCTTTTGTGGCAGACTACAGCGTCTCCAGCGCTTTCGAGCGGCAATGGCCGGCCGTGGCCCAACCCCACATTCCCCTGATAGGTGGAGAGTTGGCCTAATAGCCGTAGCGCCACCGTCCTGACGTCAGGACAGTGTTCAAATCTGGATCAGTTTTTATCAGATCCGTTGCAGCCCCTTTTTTAGAGATTTGGGTATGGAGGAAAATAGAGAGGGTTGTGTTTTCTGACACTTGGTGAGTTCCCTGGAACACCGGGGACACATATTCATGTATAAAAGACGTACAAAAGTGCATTTTGCATGATAGGTCCCCTTTAACTTATCCAGACTCATTTTCTATTTTGTGTCTCTTTGTTTCTTCTCTCCTTCACCCTCCTGCCTGTGACCCTGAAACTGATCTCAATGCATCATCTTGAAGGACATTGAATTCCTGAAATGCATTTAGAGGAGAGATGGCATGCTTGGGGAGCTATGAGCACAGATGCACAGATGTATTCTTTGCAGAAGTTTTTTCGGCATCTGAGATCAACAAGAGGCCTCACAGTGAACAGGTGGTGCAGCTGAGCTGCGGGTCTTCTTAAAGTGAAGTCGCTTTAAAATGACGACTGTTTTTTTTTCTCTGCTCGCTTGTCAGTTGACTGAGGCCCAATCCCAAACCACGCCCTACACCCTACCCCTACACACTCCCCCTCCGTGACGGAGTGAACTCCGTGGAGTGACACATGAGGCTCCCTCCTGTCAGATGGAGGGAGTAAATACAGCGGCAAGCTTTGGGACAAACTCCCCTCTCTCCGGCAGAAACAGGAAATGCCGTAACTGTATGTAACAACGGTTTCAAATCAGCATCTCTTTGACAAAAAATGTAAATTAATAACTCAAATAAAACTCCAAACATCTTTCATTGTGTTACTTTTTTGTAAAGCTCTTTTAGTTTTAAACCTGATGTTTATAAGCTTCTTAGTTTTTGCAACAGTCTGTAAATATACACAACTTTATAATAAAATGCACACATTTACCTTTTTCTAGACTAACCACAGGTATGATCCCAAGTAAAAAAAATATGAGGTTATCATGAGGTTGTTAACATCGCAGTTTATCAGTGGATGTTTGCTAGAACTACTTGTAAACACACAGCGTTGACTCCGGTCAGGTAGAGACTGGTCTCCAGTCAGCACCGCTGCAGACTCGCTGTTTGAGGGCTTGATAGCCCACTCCCCCTCCACAGCGCTCCACACTCGTTGGTTTGGAACAGCACTTAATGTGGCGGAACCCCCGCGCGAACGGAGGGGTAGTGTGTAGGGGTAGGGTGTAGGGGGCGGTTTGGGATTGGGCCTAAGAGGTCAACTGACAAGCACCCTCCTTCTCAGGTCAGCTGATCAACTGCTCCTGAATGTGCCCGAAACTGAGCTCAAAGCTCAGAGCCCCTCAGGCCCCTAAACCGTGGAGCGATCTGGCCCAGCACATCAGACAGGCCTCTACACTGTCTGTTTTTAAAACACTACTTAAAACCCACCTCTTCTCCTTAGTGTTCAACACTTTGTAGCTTGTTTTTACTTAATAGCAGTTATTATCTTATTTTTACCTTTCATTTGTATTTTTTTAAATTGTTGTGGTAGTTTGTAAGCTGAGCTTTGTGATTTTTATATTTTATTTATTTCATTTCTCTGTACAGCACTTTGGTCTGAAGGTTTTAAAGTGCTTTACAAATAAAGCTGTATTGCATTGTGTTGTGAGGAAAGGACTGGAGGATCAATAAACAGTCTTACCTCTATCCTCAGTCTTTCATACATCAGGGCCAGCTGCCTCTCTCCTTCACTGTCTCCCTCAGTGTGCTCCCCCTCTGCTCTCTCTGATTGGCTGTACAGAGAGCTGTGAGGCTGCAAAGAGAGCACCACAAGCTTGTTTTCAAGTCCAATATCCTCCATAGTTTTCAGGCTGCAGCCAGGCGCCGGCTCCGTGCCCGGGCAGTGGAAACAGTAAAACTGAGAGCCATACATAAAGGGAGCAGGACACCGCTCGGCTTCAAACAGGCTCCTGAAACAACCGTGTTCTCTCTCTATAGTAGCGCCGTTTCTCTTGAAGCTGTCAACGCTGATGTCGTCCTCCCGGCTGCCGTCCACCATGGTCAACGGGAAGGAGAACTCAGAGGGGGGGTGAAGCCCAGGAGCGAGGAGGTTTAGTTTATTGTGGGCAAACAGCGGGACCTCCAGCAGGGTGTGGAGGCTGTGGGACTCCCCCTGCCGCACCAGCACACACACGCTGAAGGCCCTCTCCCACTCCTCCTCTCCGTCAGCCCCTGACAGAGGCTGGCTGGCATGGTGGAACGGGTGCGACAGTACGGGCTGCTTAATGTTCTGATATCTCAGGCTGTTGGGGGGCGCCAGGGCCCATGATGCACTGCTCAGGGGGCGTGTCTGACGGATCCAGTGCCAGTCGACTGCCTGGAGGAGAAGGACAGGGAGAGATCATATTTCACATTCAATTCTATAAGAAAAACACCTAAAATCTCCCACGATTGTGAGAAATGTTATTATCAAAACATTAAGGAATATAATTGTTAATATAATTATAGACGGACAAAGAAGGCAGGACAAATATCAGCTTCATTTCTGTTTGTCCGGCACACAGGACATCTTCTAAAAATCTCCATCAACATCTCTTTCTGAATAACATGCAATATATACTTCCACTTTTACTACTGTTACCTGGCTGCTATCAAACTACTTGATACACGCAACACTTATTATTTTATTTTTTTATAGTATTACTGGTCTTTTTTGTTGTCCACCTGGATGTATATTTTTGTAAATTTCTATTTGTGTAATTTCTATCTTTAATATTTTGATATTTCTGGCCCTTCACTTTTGCTGTAAATGTCCCCTCTGTGGGACGAATAAAGGTGATCTGATTTGTTTATATCATTTTGTTTCTGGAGGAACTGTGATTCAGTAAAAATCGCTGTCAATTTCTAATACTATTATATAATGATAATGGATATCTTTCATTGGGTGATAGATTTCCATTATCACATTGTTGGCTATAACCCTAATCCGTGCATCCTGCTGCTGTCTTAATGCCCTTGAGTCCCATCCGGATTTCTTTTTGTTTCCTGAAAGTAATTTCTGACTGTTCCTGACATTTTGGATCCTCTGGTGCAGAGAGAGAAGCTCTGCACCACGATGAAAGTAACTACATTATTAGTCAAATGGCTTCTACATCATAACTCACATATGAAATGGAAGAGAGGATCATAAACAGATTACCTGACAGAGACTCCCGACGGCTTGCCTCCTGCCGTGGCTGCGGACACAACCCACCCAGAAGGCAACCCCCCCTCTGCTCACAGCCATTCACCACAGGAGCAGGGGCGACCCCAGTCACCAGCTGACCATCACTCAGAGCAGCAGAGACACCAGGAAGACACAAACAGAGGCAAACTAATCACTCAGGACAACTCCCGCTCAATACAGCCACAAACCTGAGGAAGAGAAGAGAACAGATAGTAACAGCCAGTCCTTCACCGAGACACTGGTTAGCAGTGTTGAAATCATGTTCTTCTGACCTTCAAATGCTACCAAATAGTATTGATATCGGCAAGAGATTTTCACTAACAATCAGAATCATGGCTTCTGGAAAAATAGATACTTTTTGATGACTAATAATCATTTATTGATCAAGCTGAAATGCAAAATAGAGTGGTGCAGTGACGAGTTAGCATCACAAGGGCTCCCTCGACACAAAGCACATTTGTCCATTATGAAACATAGCAGAAAATAAGATCTATGGCAAATACATTTAAATTATATTTCTGCAGGATAATCTCCACATATTAACACCACTTTTATGATTGGAGGTATGATGACGTCTTTATGACAAATAGACATTCACCAGTGTGGTATTTACCGACACATTTTATCGTAGAGGAAAACGTGAAAATCTGTTAAGCTTGTGTTCAAAAATCTTTGAGACAGGGGAATGGAAGTGGAAAAACTTTAACTTATTTCTGGGTTTTAGGACTCATTCCTGCACCACTCCAAAATGTAAGAAAGGCAACAGGCCACTAGTGACGCATTTCCACTGCAGGGCCTCGTACGGTATAGTTAGGCCTTGGTAGGCCAGGCTCACTTTATGCTGCGTTTCCATGATTACAGTTTAGGAACTGGGGTAGTAACTATAGTAACGCAGTGTAGGTGGAGCCGTGACGTCATCTTCAATTCGAAACACAAAACCAACCGTTAGCTGTTAGCCCTCAGAGCTCACAGCTCCTCATATCTGTTCAGAAACTAGACAAAAGTTAAACAAGTACAAACCACAGACTGCCTGTGTCATGGCGAATACAGTCGCTGGTTTATTTATGTCTGTATAGGCCGTTGTTGCGAGTGTGGACGGTCGGAGCATATACTGCGTTAGCTTAGCCGATCTCCATTCAGAAAACACGCATTTTAAAAGGTTTTTCGCCTGCCGTCTGTCTGCAGACTTGTCAAAGCATTCATTCATGGTTTTTACTAACCGGTATCAGTATGTTGTTACTTCGGCATCATTTTGAAACGTGTATTACAATTAAATCACGGTCAAATATGTTCATTTTGTTGTAGTTGTAGCCCCCTTGCCAGCGATTCTCTCACTAGTTTAGCATATTCAGCCCGGTTGTTGGCCCGGAAAGAACCTGGATTTTGGAGAGCCAGAAAAACTGTGAAAAAGTACCCGTTAGCCGGAACTACGCCTAGTGGAAACGCAACAAAAAGCGGAGGGTTTTTCACTACATGCAACATATTATACAGTCTTTTGATCCATTGATGGGTTTTTTTATATTATAGAACTATGTGCAGCTTCAAAGAGAGAAGGTCATGGTATCCGTATGGAAAATAAAAAGTCTAGAAAATTCTGGTCGACGGATTTCTCCCTGACCTGGGTCTGAGCTTTCAGAGACTGTGCCAGGAGCACATGACCTGCAGCAGACCACACGTTTATAATCAGTGTCTCCATGGTGAGTGAGACCAATTAACAGACAGGATGCCGTTATAAAAAGGAACATTTTACAGACTGTGTACTTCAACTTGGAATGAAAGAAAGTGAAAAGGAGTAGAACTCTTCTCAGTGAATAATCCTCTGGGTTGTAACACCTTGTTTAGCAAAGTTGTTTGAAGACACAGCTTAATAACTTTTGAAGGGCATGCTGCGGTTAATGTCATTTGACAGAATAAACAATAAATCATCTAAAATAACCCAGACAGTGAGTAATAATTTAAATAAGGAATTAACATTACTAAAATAAGTACATTTACTAAAGTACTGTACTTTACTTGAATACTTCAATTATTTGCTACTTTGTACTTCTAACCCATTACAATTCAGAGGTAAATCATGTGCTTCTACTCCACAACACTTACTTACGTACCTTTATTTACTCTGCACATTTGGATTAATGATGTGAAATATAATCAAGTGTTACATCAGACTTTAGTTCCACCTGGAGTAAATTCACAAGCTACTCTGCAGTATACAAAGTCATTCAAACTAGCTGCACCTTTACCAGCTTTGAGAACACTTTAATGATCAATCATTATAAAACATATCATATATATTATTCTGAAATGGACCAATCTGCACAATGACTACTTTTACAGTTGGTACTTTAAATATATTTTGATAATAATACTTTTGTACTTTTACCTGATTAACATTTTGAATGCAGGACTTGTACTTGTAACAGAGTATTCCTACACTCTGGTACTTCTACTTCCACTCAAGTAAAACATCTTCTTCCACCTCTGCTAAATATAAACTAGACAATAAGCTAGTGCTGGTCATTTCTAGATATTTCTACACGAATGATGACAGTGTGAATGAAGAATGACTATTTGGTGACAGAACAACATAACACCTTATCATTATTGTAGACTTAGTAATACATTGCACTACAAGGAACATATTGTTTTACATAAACCCAGACGTTTTTATTTTGCAAATCAACATTAACGTTACATTTGAAACAGCTGCATTGTAAGTGTCTACTAACCCCTTTAGTCACATATGAATTATCCCAAATAGTCTTGGACTCGAGATATGTTCCCGTTAATCGTTGACATTACCTTAAAAGCTTCTAATGCTGGCTGCCTAACTTGACAGCCAATGGTAGCTGCTAGCTTGCTAGGCTAACTATTTACTAGCTAGTAGCAAGCTAGCCACCGGCTCGTCAACCGTCCCTGCAGCTTTACCACACTGACCCCCGCTGCAGTCAGTGCAGCTGCGGTGCTCCTCCAGGTTTGGACAGTATTCATGGAAATACAGAAAGCAAAAGGTAGCCAACTTACGTAAATGTCATTCCTGTGAGTGTCCTTGCCTGTGGTCCTTGCCCGGCCAAACACGCCTCACGCACCCTGTCGTAATGCTGCGTTCACTGACGTAGGAAATACCAGGACTGCCTTTTACTGCCTTTTTAATTTTCTTCTTTCGTTATTACTTTTTGTTGCTAAACAAGTGCAGTTACTAACTAACACTAGACTAGACAAACAGTAAAGGAGTATCAGGGGTGCATTAAAATATAAACGACAGAGTTAAGAAAATAAATAAAGATTCAGCAGTTTAGACAAGTGTGCCTGCCAGACTGCCATACCACTGTTGAACGCCGTAGCGCTGTCAAGTGCCTTCATAACTACATAACATCTCGTTTATAGTTCACATATGTATTTATTATTACAATAAACAGTATTTTATTCCTGTGTACAGTATTTAATTTGACTTTATTTTGCTTATCTTATTATATTTTTGATATAGTTTACTGCCTACTCATTTACTTGCACATAGGTCAATATTTGTTTTGTTTTCGGTGTTTCTTGAAATGTTTTTATTGTTTAATGTCTTGCAACTTTTTTCATGAATGCTCAACCAAGTTTTAACTGAGGATCAAGATTTTTATTTTGTCGTAAAAATATATACATTTTACTAATGGCACGTTTCCACTACACAGCCTCGCTCTGCCTCGCTCGGTATGGCTAGGCCTCGTTAGGACTGGCTCACTTTATGGCGCATTTCCATTACAGTTTAGGAACTGGGGTAGTATCTATAGTAACGCAGTGTAGGCGGAGCCGTGATGTCATCTTCAATGAGAACCCCAGAAAAACAACACAGCCGTTAGCTGTTAGCACTCAGAGCTCACAGCTCCTCATATCTGTTCAGAAACTAGACAAAAGTTAAACAAGTACACACCACAGACTGTCTGTGTCATGGTGAATACAGTCGCTGCTTTATTTATGTCTGTATAGGCCGTTGTTGTGAGTGTGGACGGTCGGAGCATAAACTGCGTTAGCTTAGCCAATCTCCATTTAGAAAACACGCATTTTAAAAGGTTTTTCGCCTGCCGTCTGTCTGCAGACTTGTCAAAGCATTAATTCATGGTTTTTACTAACCGGTATCAGTATGTTGTTACTTCGGCATCATTTTGAAACGTGTATTACAATTAAATCACGGTCAAATATGTCCATCTTGTTGTAGTTGTAGCCCCCTTGCCAGCGATTCTCTCTCTAGTTTAGCATACTCAGCCCGACTCAGCCTCGTTGTCTCTGGCCCTAGACCCACGATTTTATGAGGCCAGAAAAACTGTGAATTAGGACCCGCCGGCCGGTACTAGGCCAAGTGGAAACGCAACCAAAAACGGGCCGCTGACGTCACAGCCCTCTTAAACCGTGCTCCGCGCTGTAGTGGAAACGCGCCATAAATGACCACTACAATGGCCACTCAACAAATTTGGACGGCAGGCATACAAAAAACTGAGGAATGAAAAGTGCTTGGGTCTGGCCACATCACATCAACCTGCAGAAGACACATGCACCTATAGGCCTTCAACTTACTTCAATTCATCCTCCTTCTTTCTCTTATCCCTTTTTTCTAATGCTTATGCTTACATCCTGGTTGCTGAGTCAACAATAAAGCAGTTTGGTGTTTACGGTCATTTGGCATGTGTATCTGTTAATTCGTTCATTTTTAACGGCAGTGTTTTGAAAATGGCAAACAAGTGAATATAACAGATTTCTGTGTCTTTCTTAGTTAACCGTGTGCAGTGTTTTGCATAAGTGGCAACTTGAATTGCAAATTGGGTGTAGAGCTGAAAATGTGTTTAGAGTTTTGGAGATTTGAGCTGAGGTTTCGCTCTTCGAGTGTCAGTTTAAATGATTGTGCTTTGTGTGACATTTTAGTGTGTTAACCACTGGACACAATGTCCTTTTGTGATTGGACGTTCCCACTCAAAAGGTCATACTCTTGATGTAGCAGCAGTACAGCATTCAATTGGCTGACACACCCCCCACTCCACGAATACCCCTTTCCCACCAAACCAGTTCCAGGGCCAGTTTGGAGCTAGTGCCCAATTGCGAACCAGTTCTTCCTGTTTCCACCGCAGAGGAGCCGGCTCTCGAAAACTGGTTCTTACTTGTAAACATCGGAGGTGGGGGCGGGATTAACCTGATCATTAACAATAAAAGCTGCACGTTTTTACAGCAGCATACACTACGGCACAACCATGGACGCCGGCCAACTAAGACAGCAGTGGACCAAGGAGGAGACGAGATGCTTCCTTGGTATTTGGTCCTCTTCAGAGGTTCAAGAGAAGTTGGAGCGGAGTACTAGGTCAAAGACAATTTTTCAGCAACTGCAGCGAGATATGGCCAGGGCTGGATTCGACCGGACACTGGAACAAATCAGTAACAAATTGAAAAAACTGAAGAAGGGGTATCGAGACCATAAGATCAGACCCCGGTCGAAGTGGCAAAGGTGGTCCGAAACACAGCCCGCATTATGAGGTGCTGGACTCTGTCCTGGGGGACAGACCGCAGAGCGGGACAGTCAACTCCATCACACTGGAGACGATGGTGGAGGACAGGCTGAATCTGCAGAGCTCTACTGACACCGGTGAGTAATGCATTACTGATGTGTTCAGGGTTCTCATTTATACAACTTTGCGTAGGATTCACGTGAGAAGATAATGAGAAGCGTAATTATAGTAAACCAAATGCAATCAAGCTGTGTTTGCACATGTAGGCCTACAAACATTTGGGACTTTATTTACAAAAAATATGTTATATGTTATATATAAATGGTGGTTCATTGGCCAGCTGTGCGTCTCAACCCCCCAGCAGCAACTCTATCCACCACTAAAGGAAATAATATAAATGTGTTGTGCTATATCAGCTGTACAAGTTACCAAACACATGGTGTTATTAGTTTCCATACCGCCTGTGTTTTACGAGCGATCGACCATCAAGTTTTGGCGAACGGCATAATGATAATTAGTCTAACTTCATTTGTAAAGGACCGTTCAAAATTAAATTTAAAATGCTTGACAATTTAAACACATTTTTAAACATAATGACTAGTCTGTATAACCATACACTAGTATCAACCTGCAGTATAGGCTACTATAGAAATGCAAAACGGTGTCAGTTTTAAGTAAAGTATTTGGGTGATACAGGGCTGATTAAGAATTTAAAATAACTTAAACACAGTGATAGGATGACATGGTGATACACACTCTTGTACAGTAGGTGGCGGTATTCACCTTACCGTTGTTTGCAAGTGTCTTCCAATTTACTTTTTTGTGTGATTTCCTACCTATTTAAGGTTAAAAAAACTTCTTGCAATTTAGACCTTTTTTAATTTAATTAAATTTTTAAATGTTACAGTATGTCCACTGTAGAGGACGTCGGGACCATTTTAGTTTGAAAAGACAGCCAAAATGAACAGATAGACTATGTAACGTATTATGGTTATAGCGTGATATTAATACAATAATACATTCACCTTTATTTAAAACATAAATAAGTAATTGATCTGAACATTGCTGTTTATTTGGTCACTGAAAAACTAGTTTGGTTTTTGGTGAATCTTTCCAGACTTTGTAGTCGATGTAGTGGGAAAAGTACCTAATTGACTCCAGTCGGCTGTAGGGTCATCTCGACTAGTTTTATGGATGTGGTCTCCATTTGACCATGCTCATAGAAACAAAGCTTGCATTCCTGAGGCAATTCTCATTTTTCATGGCTCCACTTAAAATAAAAACAACAATAACACATGCGTGCTACTCTTGGCCCACAGAGGGCCATGTCTTTCCAGCTCGTCCCTAGCTGTCTCTCTGTCTGTATCTGTGCGCTCATGGAGCCTCCTGCATCTTTCCCCCCCTTCTTCTTGACCCTCTTCTATCCCAGGTGTGAAAGCCTCATCCCCAGCTAGAAATATTTTGTTCTAAAAACATTCTGAGAATGTTACATTCATTGTTCTAGGAATGTTTTCAGCGGGAAGTTTTCTTTTGGTTCCCAGAACGTTCTTCTGAAAGGTAGGATAACGTTCTCTAAAAACATTCTTAAAATGTTTGGTGATAACCTTCCTAAAATGTTTTTGATAACATTGTTAGAACATTATGCCCTACTATTCTTAAAACGTTTTCAGCAGAAGCTTTTATTTTGGTTCCCAGAATGTTCTTCTGAAAGGTAGGATAACGTTCTTCAAAAACATTCTTAAAATGTTTGGTGATAACCTTCCTAAAATGTTTTTGATAACATTGTTAGAACATTATGCCCTACTATTCTTAAAACGTTTTCAGCAGAAGCTTTTATTTTGATTCCCAGAATGTTCTTCTGAAAGGAAGGATAACGTTCTTCAAAAACATTCTTAAAACGTTTTCAGCGGGAAGTTTTTGTTTGGTTCCCAGAATGTTCTTCTGAAAGGTAGGATAACGTTCTTTAAAAACATTCTTAAAATGCAATAAATCATACCCTCGTGGGGACGCGCTCATGTGATTGGCTTAGAATTGAGGAGACATTTGATTGGCTATAGATAGAAAAAATTACAAGTACGAATCGGGTGACCGTCAGGGGAGTCTCAAAAAACCCACACACGAATGCACAGCGATCCATGCACAGAAAGCGGTTTGTGTGTGTAGGTTCAGGGGTTTTAAACGGAAAACAAATATGTGAGGATCAAAAATACATATGTAAAACTTTTTTCTGTATTTGGATTTTATTTACATGTATATGAAACGGAACACATTTGTGTGTGCATTGAAAAACACAAGTGTGGATCCGGAAATACAAGTGTGAATCCTTTTGCGGATCATGAAATACAAGTGTGAATCCTTCTGTGTGCATGTGTGTATTATGAGACTGTTCTGAGCCCATAGAGTGGAGGTTGGTTATGGCAGCAGTGGGAAACAGTTGTTCCAGGGTGGAGAGGCCTGGCTGGTCTTGGGAGTGTGGAAGGCCTTGGATTCCTCCTGGGAGAGACACAAAAATGAGTGTGAGGCAAAAGCAGGCAAAGTTGTCAAAGAATATGCTGGCAAAAAGCTAGAGCGGCACGCAACAAACCGTTCACGGCAACAATCCGGCAGGGAATGAGTGCATGCTGCAGGC